GACACCAGTTGCTGTAGACCCAGATGTAGGCGGAGAGCTCGGCGCCGCGGAACACGAAGCTGGGGAGAGGAAAGGAGATGCGCTTGGGAGGGTCTAAGAATAAGAGTGAGGATAATGATGATAATAATAATAGTAATAATAATAATAATAATAATTATTATTATTATTATCATCACCATTATAATGAAAATGATTTTGATGACGATGACGATGATAATAATAATAATAATGATAGATAATGAAAACAATGATACTGATAACGACGATGATGATGTTATTAATAATAATAGATAATAATAATGATAAAATGATAATGGCAAAGATAATATTAATAATAACGATAATACTACAACAACTACTACTAATAATAATGACAACAATAATGTTACCGATAATCACAATTAATGATGATAATAAATGCCAGTAACAACAACAGCCATAACCATATAGTAACCACTATCTTTATCATCATTTCCATTATTCCACTGCTTGCCCATCGGCACCCCAAGGGCGTGTCTCGAGCGCAGTGTCCTCCAGACGCCCTCGACCGACACGAACTCACTTGTAGAGGGATTCGGACAGGCTGCCGCACGAGTAGTTGAGGACGGCGATGTGGAGACGCCAGTTGTTGCTCCGGTTCGTCAGCTTCAGAACCACCGCCTCGATCACGGACATCAGCATCATCACGGGCAGGGCCTGGAGACGGGCGGAAGAATAGGAAGGACAGGGGATAGAGGGAGATGAATAGCAATCGGTGCGTGTGTGTGTACTTTCGCGCAGTGTTGTCCAAACTGGGGTGCGCAACATAGATCAAAAGAGTACGTGAACAAACACACACGCACAAATGGAAACCACATCTTAATTCGTGTATTAAAATTGATTTTTTTTTACCAACACTCCTGCAATGCAGTCTTTTCATAATTAGTATATCATTTGCATTGTCCTAAATAAAACAGTTTGTTTAGCCATGGTGGACGGGGGGGGGGGTCCGTTACAGTACAAGAAGGTAATAAAGGGTACAATAGGCGAAAATGTTTGGACAACACAGCTTAAGCGCATATTTTTAAAGGAGATACTATATTCTACATTCCTAACGAAAAGTATATATTTTTTGTAATAACGAACAGTGTCCAATCTCTCTGTTAGTTCATTTAAATAAAATGACTGATGTAGGTTACCTCTCATCTTCAGGTTAGGGTTATGTGTCATGACTACGTTGCAGAAAAAGGTATGAATGAAAACTAATACCTTCACAGCGCAGACTATCGGTCGGTTTGTAAATATCATACGAGGTCCGACCTAATGAATATTCATATTCAGACATTCATATACACAAAGATAAATGCATAGCTGTTTTTCTATCACACACACACACACATTTATCTATCTATGCATACGGTAGATATGCATGTCTATACTGATAGATATGAATTTATATCAGTGTATATGCATGTCCACATAATGAATGTTCACTAAGCCGGGCCATCTACCTTCGTCAGAGATACAATGTCGTCAGCGCCGGTCAAATGCAGCTCGCACTGCGAAATCATTAATTCTCATTCACACATTTTCTGCATCGCAGTAATGATATATAACCCTAATCTTAAGATCCCAGGTAACCTCGACCTGTCACTTGATTCAGCCAAAGATGCAAAGACGAGGCACTCCCGAGCAGCTCTCTCTCCCCTTGGCCCTTGAGTCTGTCTGCAACGCACCTTGCCCACTATGTTGGGCACCTGCCACACGGTCTCGTAGTAGGTCTCAGCCGGCGTCAGGGCGTAGAAGTTGGCCCTGAGGCTGTACGACCACGAGGAGGTGCCTGACGCAGAGGTGTTCATGGCGGGCTCAGGTCTCTCTTGAGTGCGACGTCTGTGCAGCGAGCGGGCGAGGCGCTCGAAGATGCTTCCTGCACCGTCAGCAACGGCTTTATATCAACGAACCCAATCTTATCTCTTGGTTTCCAATATCAGCTTACATGTCTGTTTTTTATTGGTCTGTTTATCATAATCAATAAGTTAGGAAACAAAGCACTCACCTAGATAAAGAAGAAACTTGATTTAAAGGTAACGAATGCGTTAGAATCCACATTTCATTGATTACCTGCCCATTATCGCGTTGGTTGAAAAGTTTTCTTGCTATCATCTCTGGCACATATCAGAGTTAAATAAAATCATAACATTATTTTTTCTCTGTCGTTTTATCTGTGGAGTACCATAGTATAGAAGAATTATCCGAATCAGCTGGGAATTCTGAGCGGCGGTTGAGGGAGACCCAGGACGCTGTCGCAATGTCTAACCTCCTTGTCGACCGACGCTCACTTGTGCTGTCACTCGTCACGTCGGTCAAACACTTCAAGTTCTGAATTTTATGACCTTCATATGCATATACATACATGTATATAATAATATATATATATATATAATATATATATATATATATATATATATATATATATATATATATATATTTATATATATATGTATATATATATATATATATA